CATTTCCAAACTGCCATCTTTACAGAAGCAAAATGTCACACCTTTCTCCCAGTGGTGGTGAGCTTGAACTGTTGACCTTTGGGTTCGCAGCCAAAAATTTTACCACTGCACCCCCAGGGCTCCTTTTATTAAGCACAGGCATTCGATGCTTTAATTTAATTTAATTTAATTTTTGTTCAGTTTTAATTTTATTTTTAAAGAAAAGAAGAGAAGCACATTGATGCAGAAAGAAAGAAGAAAAAAAAACTGGAGACTCAGTGTCAGGATTGGCCCGGACTGATCCCATGACACCAAGACACTAAACTAAAGCAGAGCAATGTGGGGAGCAGAGCAGGGAACTCCAGAGAGAGTGCAAAGGATAGGCTCGGGGGCCAGAGCGAGGCACCCCATCGGACTTGACTGGAGGACATGCCTAGAGGTCAAAAATCAGACCTTGATCTATTTCCAGTTTTTTCTCTTTTTAAAAAATTTTTTTTCTTTTTTTTTTTAATTAAGTTATTCTCTTATGGGTCATTGGTTTCTTTTTTGTTGTGATCATTGTGTTCTCTTTTGTCGCTTTGTCTTGCTTTGCCTTGTTTTTTGGTGCATATTATTATCTCTGCAGATCTATCTAGATAAGATAGGCTGCATGAACAGTCTGCAGGAGAAAACAGCAGAACCAATAGTTCCAGGGGGACATGGGAGAGGGGGAGGCGGGGGCAAGGAGGTGGTGTTGACCAACCCAGGAACAAGGGAGCAACAAGTGATCCAAAATTAATGGCAAGGAGGGTGTGAGAGGCCTGGTAGGGATTCAGCAAGGGCAATGTACCAAGAGAAATTACTGAAACCCAAATGAAGGCTGAGCATGAGAGTGGGACAAGAGGAAAATAAAATGAAATAAGAGGAAAGAACTAGGAGACAAAGGGTATTTATATGTGGTGAAGAAAGCTCATGGTGCCCAGCTATCAAAAGATATAGCGTCTGGAGTCTTAAAGGCTAGAAGATAAACAAGCAGCCATCTAGCTGAGAAACAACAAAGCCCATATGGAAGAAGCACACCAGCCTGTGTGGCCACGAGGTGTAGAAGGGACCAAGTATCAGACATCAAAGAACAAAAAATCCTATCAGTGGGTGCCCACCTTCCCGATATGATCACCGAAGACAAATGTGCGCATAAGGAAATGTGGTGAAAAAAGCTGATGGTTCCCAGCTATCAAAAGATACAGCATCTGGGATCTTAAGGGCCACATGAAAGAAGCACACCAGCCTGTGTGAACACGAGGTGTCGAAGGGATCAGGGATCAGGCATCAAAGAACAAAAAATCATATCATTGTAAATGAGGGTGAGTGCAGAGTGGAGACCCAAAGTCCATCTGTAGGCAACTGGACACCCCCTTACTGATGGGTTGCGGGGAGAAGACGAGCAGTCAGGGTACAGGGTAGCAACGATGAAACATACAACTTTCCTCTAGTTCTTAAATGCTTCCTCCCCCCACTATCATGATCCCAATTCTACCCTACAAATCTGGCTAGACTAGAGGATGTACATTGGTCCAGATAGGAACTGGAAATGCAGGGAATCCAGGACAGATGACCCCTTCAGGACCAGTGGTAAGAGTGGCGATACCTGGAGGGTGGAGGGAAGGTGGGGTAGAAAGGGGAAACTGAGTACAAGAATCTACATATAACCTCCTCCCTGGGGGATAGACAACAGAAAAGTGGGTGAAGGGAGACATCAGACAGTGTAAGATATGACAAAATACTAATAATTTGTAAATTATGGAGGGTTCATGAGGGAGGGGATCAGGAGGAGGGAGGGGAAAAATGAGGAGCTGTTATTAGGGGCTCAAGTGGAAAGCAAGTGTTTTGAGAATGGCGATGGCAACGAACGTACAGATGTGCTCGACACGGTGGATGCTTGTATGAATTGTGATATGAACTGTACTACTCCTAAAGGCCAACAAACGATCCTTGAACTAAAAAAAAAAAAAGAATTGTACGAGCCCCCAGTAAAATGATTTTTTAAAAATTACAATGTAGAACTATATTATAATAAAGCAGTATAACTTCATTTAAAAAAAAAAAAAGAAGAAAATTCTCAAACAGCGCTACTTCATTCACAGTGAGAGGTACACATACTTCCAACCTCCCACTGATTCAAATGAGAGAGCTGGGTGACAGATAAACATAGATCATTCTCTCACATATTTCTAAAGAATTATCATATGTAAACTTAAATTATCATATACCTACAAGCAAACATGGTAACACAGGTGAGTGAAGTAACTGGATGTAAGAACAAAAGCACACACATTATGATAAACAATAAAAGAACATCTGGCCTCAATATCCAAATACAATAGCACACTGTAGAAATGACGACAAACCATAACACTCGTGCCCCATCTAAGCAGAGCTGGCTACTACTCACTCACAGTTTCAACCGTTGCAAAAACCAAATAGTAATGGCAAAACTGGAATCCAGGTTTTATGAAAATATATGTTAAATAATTCAAATATATTTTACAATCTTGTATAGGTCAAATAAAATCTACCTACAGACCAAAATGGCCCTACCAATTTGCAGATTATTCTAATATATTCATTTTACATAATGATTTGCAATAAATATTATATCAAAATATACAAGGCTTAAAAGAGTTCATGGGAAAATGGAACTAAAAGCTAATGGAAATTTTTCCATAAACTTTTTGAAGCTTGCTTGTAGAATGCCAAAGAACAAAAAACACTGATTTGATATTAAGTATAGTCTTTAACCACACCTTCAAGCTAACATTCTCCTATCACCCCTTTGTACCTCCAAGATTTTTTAAGCTGTTTTTCTTTGATCTTTGGAAAAGTCAGACAGGAAACTTTGAGAAGCACTGGGTAGTTAAAAAAGAAAGAAGCATTTGAATCAAGTCCAAAGCGTGGCTGTCACTTACTAGCAATGCATTCTAGGGCAAGTCACTTCACTCACCATCACTTTCCCCTTTGCAAAAACCAGTTGCCATCAAGTCAATTTTGACTCAGGGTGACCCCACATGTGTCAGAGTAGGAGTGTACTACACAGGGTTTTCCAAGGCTGATTTTTTGAAAGCAGATTCCCTAGGTCTATCTTAGGCACCTACGTAGACTCAAACCTTCAACCTTTTGGTTATCAGCTGAGTACACTATCACTGGACTCTCTATAATAAGAATACCATGTCTTTATTGTATAGCCACGTTGAGATAGCATTAAGTAATAGTATAATACCAAACATCCAATATAGTGTCTAAGATGAATTCAAAAAGTGTACTTTGTAAAGAAACTTAAAAGGGCAGAGAAACTCAAATACTTATTCTACTCTCCTATAGGGCCGTTCACTCTAATCGACAGTGCTTTTGTTGCTGTTGTTGGGTTTTGGTAGAGATAAATAGCAAAAGCAAACCCATTCCCATAGGGTAATTTTCCAGTGACCCTGTAGGAGAGTAGAACTGCCCCATGAGGTTTCCAAGACTGACAATCTACACAGCAGCAGAATGTCACCTCTTTCTCCTGCATGGCTGCTGCCTCAAACTGCCAACCAGACCTTTCCATGAGGAACCAAGCTCCTAACCACTGAGTCTCCAGGGCACATAAGAAAGGGTTGAATACTGTTTAGGAATGAATTACACATTCTGCATCTCAAACTGATGAGGGGCTTTACTTGACAGACAGAAAGCATGCCTAAGTGAGTTGATGCCGACTCCTAACAACCCTACAGGTCTTTGCATCAAAGACCCAGAGCAAAAATCATAATATGAATGGGGGGGGGGGGAGTGTGCAGTGGAAGCCCAAAGGCAATCTGTAAGCAATTGGACATCCCCTTACAGAAGGGTTGTGGGGAGAAGACAGACCAGTCAGGGTACAGTATAGCACCAATGACACATACAGCTTTCCTCTAGTTCTTTAATGCTTGCTCCCCACCCCACCACCCCACCCCTGCCCCACTAACATGACCCTAATTCTACCTTACAAATCTGGCTAGACCAGAGCATATACATGAGTACAGATAAAGAGCTGGAAACACAGGGAATACAGGACAGATAAACTCCTCGGGACCAATATTGAGAGCAGCCATACTAGGAGGGGAAGGGGAAGGGGAAGGGGGCGGGGAAGAACTGATATCACAATGACCTAACTATAACCCCCTCCCAAGGGGATGGACAATAGGCAAGGGGGTAAAGGGAAACATCGGGCAGTGCAAGACATGAAAAAATAATTTCTAAATGACCAAGGGTTCATGCGGGAGGGAGGGAGGAAGGGGGAGGGAGGGTGAAAAATGAGGAGCTGATACCAAAGACTCAAGTAGAAAGAAAATGCTTTGAAAACGATGATGGCAACATATGTACAGATGTGCTCGACACAATGGATATATGTATGGATTGTGATATGAGTTGTACGAGCCCCCAATAAAATGATTTTTGAAAAAAACAAAACCCTATAGGACAGGGTAGAACTGCCCATGGGTTTCTGAGAAACCGAAACTCTTCACAGGAGCAGAAAGCCTCATCTTTCTCCTGGGGAGCCGCTGGTGGTTTCAAACTAGGCCACCAGGCGCCTCTTGATTTTTGATAATCCACCTAAATATTTATTACCAATAAAAGCATTTATATAATTGGTTAAACTAATCCAAACATAAATAAGCTATCAATATACAAAAAGGCAAAATATGAACAAAAGGCTTTATTCAGAGAATTTATGCCAGAATAAAATAGAAGCAGAGAGGAAGTCGTATAGAAAGTACCAATGAAGATTACTTTTCTTTCACAATGCAGACGCTGTATCACAATTGCAATGTAAGTGTAAAAGTATCTTCACAAAGCTTATTAGTAGTACAATTAAATGGAGTAATCCAGTGGTACTAAAAATAAAACCTAACAATCCTTAAACCCCCCTCCTCTCTAATTCACAAAAATGATTCCCTTTATCCTGGACATGAGGCAACAGGTACAGATCACTAATAAATATAAGCAATTTCTCTAAAACATCAGCATACCTGCTTGTCCTATTTGGCTGAGGCAACTGTTCAATGACCTGACTAATGGAACCACATGTGTCCAGATGAGAAGAATCCGTAGGCTCTGGAAAAATAACTGGATGTGAGCACACACACAAAAAGAAACATTAACATTTACCATGAAACTTTAATACAAAATCGTAAATGTAGACAATACCAAAGTACTCAGCTACGTTAGAGCTTGATCAACGTTTTGACTGCCTACTAATGCACCTAGATATGACACTAGCCTTCCTTAGGTATATTAACCACAACCACAGCCAGCTTCAACATGAACACCTGACAATGAAAAAGGCACTGACGGCTCTTTAAAGACCTCACCTGAAGGCTTGCTTTCTTTCAAATGCTCATTCAACCCACTATTAGTGTCTCCTTGTTCTCCTCCAGCTGTCTGTTCAGGATTGGACACAGCATCCTAAACAATGCACATTAAGTAAACTCCATTATATACAAGATAGTCTCAAACATGACAGAAGTCTTGTGAACATGATGACACTCTCTCTCTACCCAACTTTATACAAAAGATAGTGCTCTCCTAAATGCTTATGTCTGCTGGTTGGTCTAGATTGGACGGGAAAAAAAGAAACGTGCCCAAACAAGGCAGGACTCACCAGCACAGGATTCTCTTTGTGCGTCTGTAGATTAGGAAGATGCCTGGCTAACACACTGAAGTGAGAAACAGAATCATCTTCTAGAACCTGACTTTCAGGCTGAGAATCTTCAATTATCAGGCAGGGAGTATCTTGCTGAGAGAAATCGGAATCCAAATGACTTCCAGTGGGGTCCATCTGCTCCCCTGGAACGGGATAACAAAAGCTCAGTGCTGAGCGACCCTATGGGCCTGCATGGAGCGGAAGTAGAAGACCTGGGAAAGGGGGCAAGTCCAGGGCTCCTCAAATTTGAACATTGTGTTTAAAATCGCTGCAAGCGCTTACTTACCACCCTTAGGATAGCTGCGTTTCCTCGTTATTTACACTCAGCTTGCCTGTCCCTCCCTCCCCCTTCTTTTCCATCATCTTCACGTAAGCACCCCTTCCTAACCTTTTCTTTCCCCGCACCTTTTCCTAACCCCCACAACTCTCCCGAGGTCCTTCGGCCGCCTCTCCCGACCCCAAAAAGCTGCTTTATAACCTCTGGTCTCCAGATTCCTTGTGGCCCTTCCTACACGCTTCCTCCAGACCACCCCAGCCTTCCTAGCTACGGCTACCCCACCCCCTCCTCAGGTCCCTCCAACCCCTTCCCCGTCACGGCCGCCATGCTTGCCACCCCGCCCCCTCCGGCCAGCTACCTCTTCAGACACGACACACTTGCCCTTAGAGCCGACCTTGCCCCACTTTTCACCAAATCGTACCAGGCATCCCGGCGGGAAGTCCCTCGAGCTTAAGCTAGAGGTTCGCGCGCTCTCCCCAGCTCCCTCCAGCTCGCTCCCAGGTCGTCGCTGCCTCTACCGCCGCCACCAGCCGCGAACTCCCCCTTTTCCCGTTTCGTCACGCAATCTCGGATCACCCATTCGCTGCTGCTGCCCGCCACTCATAAATCCCTATATGTGATTGGTGGTTGAGGCTGAGTGCCCCGCCCCACGCAAGAAAAAGCACGGCGGCGCGTTTCCATGGCAGCATGGACGTTGCAGGCCCTCCCCTCAGTACAGCTACAGAATGACTGTATCCTTGAACCGAAGGGACCTTGAAAGGGTGTGAAATATCTTCCTCGGCCTCTAGAAGCTACTGGATTTACCACTGCTCAGACATGAGACTCTACTGGCTTTCAGTCGTTCATTCGCCTTAAAGCCCCTTTTCCCAGCCCCTTCTGTTGAACAGAAGAGGTACCAGCTTTCTAATAAAAGGGACAAGAAGATTTGGTGAAACCTTGGAGAAAGAGGAGTCCTTGGGGTTTGTATGTGTCAGGCAGCTTCCTTTTTGTGAACTTTTACCTGAATCTAAGGGCCTCACATTACATCTGTCAGTTCTTTTTTTCCTACAGTATCTGATGGTCCCACTACGTCATATTTCTTGGTATTATTTTTTTCATATCCAGTCTGGAATACATTTCAAGCTTCGTGTTTGTTTATAGTTACCCTATTTTTCTTTTTAATTGTTGTAAATTAGGTGAAGACTTAGAGCCAATAATCAGTTTAATATTCAATAATTCATACACATTAAGTTTCATCTCATTAATTGTAATCCCGTCAATGTAACATCACGTGTCCTTCCTCCTTCGGTTTCCGGTTTCCATCCCTCCCTCCTTCCTAACCCTCTGAACTTGGGTAAATGATATCCTTTAGATCTTAAATGGTTGGTTTTTCTTCTTCTTCCCTTTTTTTTTAATAGGATTGTACATTTTATTGGAAACCTTAAATATTCTTTAGACAGAAGACATCTATAACCAGGCTCTTGTATGGCCTACACAGAAACAAGCTTTTTGAATTGGGGGAGGAGAATGCACAGGGCCAGTTGGCTGAAAGGATCCCCTCACGGATGTTCTTCAGCCATTTGATCAGCTTTTGCTACAGCTTCCCCAGTAAGTCCCAACATACAGAAGGCCTGCTCGGGGACATGGTCATTTTCACCTGCCGAAATGCTTTGATGGTCTCCTCCTGGGGCACCAGCTTCCCCATATGGCCAGAGAAGACCTCAGAAACCTGGAATGGCTAAGAGGAAAATCACTGGATTTTCTGTGCCTGGGACACAGTCAACTAGTCTTCCTCAGAAAGTTCTTCCACACCCAGGATAGCAAGGAGATCCTGGAGGGATTTTTAGTCCTGCATGATCTTCTGCACCCCACGGGCGACATCATAATGCTCATTGCCAACAATGCTGGGATCCATGATGCCAGAGGTGGAATCCAGAGGATCCACAGCTGGATAGATGCCCAGCTCAGCGATAGCACGGGACAGCACAGTGGGAGCATCCATATGGGCAAAGGCAGTGGCAGGAGCCGGGTCAGTTAAGTCATCAGTAGTCACGTAGATAGCCCGCACAGAGGGGAATGATCCCTTCTTGGTGGTGGTGATTCTGTACAGCATGGTGCCCATATCAATGGACAGAGTAGGCTGGTAACCCACAACCCAATAAGACTGACACCTCTGAGCCAGCCTGGGTGAAACGAAAGATGTTATCAATAAACAGCAACAGGTCTTGACCTTCTTGGTTTCCGAAGTATTCAGCCACAGTCAGTCCTGTCAAAGCTACGCGGGCACAAGCACCAGGTGGCTTATTCACTTGCCCATACACCAGTGTGAGCTTGGCGGTAGCATCTTTCAAGTTGGTAACACCAGACTCAACCATTTCATGGGATAAGCCATTGCCTTACAAATCCTCTCACCAATGCAGCAAACAACAGATTAACCACCATGGACTTTGGCGACATTGTTGATTAACTCCATGATCAGCACCACCTTGCCAACTCCAACACCACCAAAAAGCCTGATTTTTGCCACCCTTGGCATAGGGAGCCAGCAGATCCACAACCTTGATACCTGCAATTTCTTGCTCAACACTCATCTCCACGAACTCAGGTGCCTCGGCACGAATGGGAGCAAACTGTTTGGTTTTGATGGGCCCTCTCTCATCAATAGGTTCTCCAAGGACATTCCTGATATTCTGCCTAAGGTCTCAGGCCCAACAGGATTTTTTTTTTTTTTTTGGACCAACAGGAAATTTGATGGGTGCACCAGAATCCAGAACTTTCTGGCCTCTGACCAAGCCATCAGTACCATCCATAGTAATGATCCTTACTGTGCTCTCACCCAAATGCTGGGCTACCTCCAAAACTAGCCTGGGGTCGCCGCCTTGCATTTCCAGAGCATTTAGGATGGTGGGGGGTGCGGGGGTAGTCCCTCATCAAACTGGACATCCACCATGGCACCAATGACTGCCACGATGCACAAGGTGGCGGTGCCTGTATTTGGTGAAGAAGTTTGGGCCACATAGACGCTGCCTGGCTGGAGTGCCAGCTGGGCCGCCCTGCAGCAAGAGCTGGGCTTTGGGCAGAGACACCATGGGCTGAGGCCCCAGAGGCCAAGGCAGCAACCAGACAACCCCCAATCCCCACCATGGCGGAGTCTGAGTGGTGACTCAACAGCTGGTTCTTCTAACATGAGGGTGGGCTCAGTTTCAGACATGTAGGATAACCATAGGTCATAGTCTTGGGGATCCCACCAGTCTCTTTTCTGATTTTGAATTCTTTTCATGGAATTGCAGTCCATGGAGACTGCAGCCCTAGCCAGATTTTGTGCTTCCCTTTAAGAGCTTTGAGCACCAGGATTTTCAAATTCAGTGCTGAAGGGAACAGCTGCCAATGCTTCAAAGACCCCTCCAAACCCTGAGGTTCTATTATCCTAATTATGGCGCCAGAGTCTTATAGAGAGAGGGTGTGGCAGCTGGGACGAGGCTCCCTGAGGAATTTTTTTTTTTTTTAGTAAGCACTGGTTGGATTAGAGTGGGACTCTACCCAGAGCAGCTGTCAACTGGGAAAGTACCAAGTATCAAAACCAAACTCATTGCCATCACGTCAATTCCAACTCATAGTGACCCAATAAAACACAGTACAACTGCCGCCATAAAGTTTCCAAGGCTGTAATCTTTTCTTTCTTTCTAATTGTGGTT